ATATTAAAGAGAACAGTTACCCAGAACATTAACCCCTTTTAAAGTAACCCACTGAGGACTTCACACACTTATCCCAGCACCCCTTGCACTGTTTTGACATATTCTCCTTGATCTCGTCCATGGCTTCGGGACAACCTCTCAACAATTTTATCTTTCAAAAGTGGCAAAGTGCCAAATCTTGACTAGGGAGTAGGTAATGCTGACAAAGATGGATGATGTAATGTTTTGCAAAAAATTGTGCACACAACATGGATCGGCAAGCACATTCTCGTAATGAATGACACTGTTGGTATAAAAGCTCACTCAACAGTTTCACTGCTGAATGAGTAAAACCCACAGGAGAATGTTCATGCATACATTGTAAGGTCCCCTCTGATTAGTTGCCTATTTACATAGCAAGGGTTTCAGATATTCTCACTAGTTGGATACAATCCAGAGACTCCATGTATATAAAACTGCTTTCACGAAAATAAGAAAAAAAAAAAAATCACTTTTCTGACGAAGGCTGTAGAATCTTCTGGCCAAAAATTAGTTAACAAAATAACAAAGATAAGGATACTCACTGATTAATATTTCTAGAAGATTGTTGTGTGCTTCAAGAAACTAATTATCATATGTTGTTAAAATACAATGTTTGCTCTTTCAGTGGTACTGAGCATTCCTTGTTACCATAACAACACATTTTCACATTAGCCAACAACATTCAAGTCTTGTCATGCAGATACAAATCTAAGTCACCATTATTATATATGATACTTTAAATAATATACAATTAATACTGTTTTATATATTACACATGCACAAATACATATATATGAGCATGTATGCATGTATAATATGTATATGCATGAGCATGTGTTATATGTGTGTGTGCATAACTTTAAAAATCAGGTGGTCAGCAGATTCAACTGACCTGATTTTTAAAGTGAAAAGCGTTACATATTTTTACTTTTATTTCTTTGACATGTGTACTGAGCACTTTTTAATACCACTGTTTTTCCTGGTCTGATTCAATCCTGACCTTTCATATATATATATATATATATATATATATATATATATATATATGAGTATGTGTGTAATTTATATATCTGGTGTATCAAATATTCTTTTACAAACTTTGGGGACAGTTTCCTCATACCAAAGCAAGGTCAAAAATCCATATAAACAGATGTCCACAAATCCTTTTTGAGTTATTAAGTTTTAAAATGTTTGAGTGGTGTTGCCATATAGACTATGTTACATTTGTCATTCATGTACATTTATGGCTAGCCTGTCTTCAATGTTGTAGTGAGTTAACTGAGACATGTTCCATTTAGCAATAGAAGGATATTCATATCATGAGCAGGCAGATATGATTTTTACATAGTGTCGCAGGAATGGTAATGGACATGAGGCTGCACGGCTGTATCAGATTGCGTTTCCAGACTGAAGGCAACCAAGTCATCCAATCTTTGCTGCTGTTTATCGTCACACTGCTGAGACAGGATCCATGGCACCACAAACTATAGATTAAGAAAGGCTGAGGTTATCTCATCTGCCTGATCATGAAGAACACATTCTACTTGCTTTCAGAGACAATCCTAGTATCAGCACAATTCAAGTGGTCCTAATATGTCACACATCTCATAATACCACATGGAGAGTACTTCAAGAGCAGCTCCTGTATCCATATCATTTACAACATGTGCAGTGTATTTTGCCCTCTGATCACTCATCTGGGAAGAACTTTTGCCGATAGTTTATTGCACAAACTGCTGATCCATTGTTTGTCTTTTCAGTCTTGCTTACAGATGAGGCAACATTTGGAAGAGATAGAATAACAAATTTACACAACCAACATTTAAGGGCAAATTGGAACCCCTATGGTACAATGCAGGCTAGACATCAGCATCAGTTTACAATTAATGTGTGTGCTGGAATTGTAGGTGACTGTCTGGTAGGTTCATATGTTCTCCCAACACATCTTACAGGAGCTGTCTACAGGGACTTTATTTCAAACACATGTATCCCTACTAACATGAAGACACACATGGTTCATGCATGATGGGGCTCTAGCACATTTTAGTCACATTGTTCACAATGCACTGGCTGACATCTACCATGAAAGATGGATAGGGAAGGACTGGTTCTATGGCCTACACGATTCCCTGACCTCAATCATTTGGATTTTTATCAGTGGGGCCACCTAAGACAATTGGTTTATGCAGCAGACATTAATAATGCTGAAACACTTCATCAACATGTCATGGGGACCAACGAAACCATTCAACACAATGTGGGAGTATCTGAAAGGGTCCACCAGGCAATGATCCAACAGGAGCATGTGTGTGTAGAAGCAAATGAAGGGCATTTTGAACATTTGCTATGAGTTGCTGTGCAGAGGTACAATGATGGCCTTTTGGACATCTGTTTATATGGATAGTTTTACCTTGTTTTGGTGTCAGGAAGCTGCCCCAAAGTTCTTAAAAGTATTTTTTCATACACCCTATACGTATGTGTGTGTGTGTGTGTGTGTGTGTAAAATTGTGTATTAGAGCAGCAATGCCTCTTTTATAGAAGCTTCATGATTTCAGCTTCTCAGAAGATGGCATCTATCTGGGTTTGAGTGGTGTTTTTACAGGCTTCCGGAGAATTGAGTAGGCATTAAAATAAATAGTAATCCAAAAGTGTAATATCAGATGAGCACAGTAGGTGCAGTAGGACATCCCAACCAAACTATACTAATTTCTGCCAAGTCTGCAAAGAGACACAAGGTCTAATGTTATCCTGATGGAAAACAAGACACATCCGACTAACCAATTCCAGATGGCTTTTCATTCATTGGGAACAGTCAGTCAAGTGCTATATGTGATACACTCTTGGGCAATCACGTCTCTTTCGATTCATGACTGAAAAGTCAGAAGATTTACTGCCATAGAAGGCCATTTATTTCTGCAGAGTCTGGTTGCCAACCAAGGCTATAGAACCTAGTTTGTCCTACTATTCAACCCATATCTGGGGGAGGTGAGAAGAGATGGATTCATACCTTTCCCAAGATTATTTGTGCATAAGTGAATATAACAAACCCAACTGGAATTTGAACCCGGTCCTCTGATTTCTCATTCTGAACTGACATCCATTACACCAGAACGCACTTTTGGCAACAGTACTTATCAGAATTCAAAATCTGATTATGTGGAAGACTGCTCATAATATACAAGGCCCTTTCAATGGCAGATATACAGATCCCCTTCAAATGCAGACCAGTATTTGGTATGGTTAACAGACTACCTGTGACTATACTTAAGAAAAAAAAAAACCTTTAAGCATAAAATTGCAGATGCAGTCAATTTAACCCCCCTCCCCCTTTAAATCATGATGCACCCAAACATTGTAACAATTTACGTATCTAAGTATTTTCAAAAACTTTACAATGCTGAACCTAATGAAGCATTTACAAAGAGTACTCTCAGTTATGGCACCATCGCCACATATCTTTTTATGCTGTTCATGTACTGTTCTTCTTTTCCAGAAATAAAAGAATATCAAATCATGAAAACATATATAATTTTTTCCTCCATTTTCCCTTTTAACGAACAAACACTTAAAATTCACCATCCACACATGAATCATATAGAAAGATGTTGAAATCTCACTTCACAGAATATGCATGTCATAAATTTTAGTCACATATTCAAATACCATCAGTGAAAAAAAATGCCATTCTTGAAACACATTATATATATATATATATATATATATATATATATATATATACACACACACAAGTATAGGATTGGTGTATACGGAATAAATTCCAATAAGCAAAAAATACTATTCTTAAAATAGTGCTCAATACAAAGTAGAACAAATATAATTTATTTGAAAATTATGACATAAATATGTTATAAAATCACTACAAAAATAGCCATTTTATTTCAACACTTCTGGTGTCATATCAAGTGATGATGTTGATCCAACACAATCACTTGATAAGACACCAGAAGTGATAAAGAATTGTTTCTCCTACAAAATGTAATGCAGGTTCAATCCCTGTCGGAGAAAACATTTTATTTATTGACATTTCTTGAATATGCAGGCCGATGGACATAGTACACATCATTTAAAGTATCATGGCATCTATTTCAAACAACAGTCTCCACTATAATATCATTTGAAGTAATAAAAATATTAGATTAAAAATAAATCCATTAATTATACAGACCATCACCATCTGTTCTCAACAAGTGCCATGACAGGAACATGTCATCACACACATGCCGTATTTGTATATGTACAAGTCAGTGTGTATGCATTATTGACACATTAACCCTTTAGTATGCAATCCACCCTATAAATATCAGCTCTCAATATTCAATCTGCCATAATATATGACAACATCATCACAAATAACACAAGAAGTCATGCAAACAGTAAGAATTGAGAGCTGATATTTACAGGATCGGTTTGAACATGTTGAAAGTTAAGGATTAAAAACTGTCTATTGCTTTAGGAAAAGCAAATCATTAATTGCATTGTCAGCATCAAGAGTTAAATTCAGATATAATATTTGTTCATAAATAAGTTAATTACTAAAATAATTAGGGGGTGATGGTAGTGGAGGACAGAATGACAAAGAAAAATAACTTTTTAGGGTAGTAAAATAAGCAGGTAAAATAAGTGAATCCTGCCCTAGTTTGAACATTCAACCTGGAGGTAATCAAGCAAGCAGCATATCCACTATGCCAACATTCTTTTACTTGGAAAACATTTTAGAGAGTACAGATACTAAATTGATCTATAGTATAAGTACTGACTCATATATGAATAAACCAGTAATTTTTAAAAATTTATTTTAATGAAAACTACATATATTTAGACATTCAAAAACATCTATAAAACTTAAAAATCATACGAGATTAAATTATATCATTTTTTTTACAGTGCGAGACTTGATCATCATTGATCAGCAACACATTAAATCTATTTTAGAATGGGCACCTGACTGAATTCAAATTTCAGCATCTTAAATTGTGTTGGAGTGTTGGAAAAGTAAAAAAAGAACCAAGGAGAAGCAGAGAGTGACGTGGAAGCAAAGAGCGAGAGAGAGAGAGAAAAACAGCAAAGAGCGAGAGAGAGAGAGAAAAACAGCAAAGAGCGAGAGAGAGAGAGAAAAACAGCAAAGAGCGAGAGAGAGAGAAAAACAGCAAAGAGCGAGAGAGAGAGAAAAACAGCAAAGAGCGAGAGAGAGAGAAAAATAGCAAAGAGCGAGAGAGAGAGAAAAACAGCAAAGAGCGAGAGAGAGAGAAAAACAGCAAAGAGCGAGAGCGAGAGAAAAAAGGAAAAGAGCAAAGAGAAGAAGAAAAAAAGCGGGAAAGAGATGAAACAAACAAAACAAAAAAAAACATGCAAATAGCGGAGTGAGAAAAAAAAACATCGGGCAGAAAAGGCAAAGAGCGAGGAGTAGGAAAAAAAAGCAAAGAGCGGAAGGGTGAGAAAGAAAAAGAGCAATACATTGCCCGCCCTCTTCAAGATTTTCACCAGTCAATTTTAGAAACAATTTTTTTACCCCAACACACAATTCTCTTGAATGGAGTGAGTGGGACATTTGCCTTAATTTGACCTACAAGCATTTTTTGGAAATAACTGATCTTGAAATATTTGGGGAAATTATTTTTATAATGGAATTCTTCACCTATATTGTTCAATTATATTCAATTTTTTTCGCTTGGAATAACAACTGATGAGACAATACAAAACCTTTATTTAATTTGGGGTAAGCGTAAGATTTTGTCACTTTATGCTTTTTGGTAGGATTTATTTGTTGCTTTTCATTTTTTAATATGCTATCTTAAAAGAAGAGCGTAGTTCCCATAGTTCATAAAAATAAAATGTTAGTATAGAACGAAAATAATTTCATATACACCAAAATAATGCAAATAAGATTGAATTTAATTTTAAAATAACAACCCTTAGGAAATAAAATTTGAATAAAAAAGTTAAATTACATTTACTACAATATCGTGAAAACGGGAATTTTTCAGATTTAGTTGGAAAAAAAACTCAAAATAAATATGTATGAATAAAAAAAAAAAACGATATAGAAACATTTATGGATTGATTGAATGTTGAACAGAATTTCATTCTGACATTTTTAGCATCTAATTAAAAGATGGGAGGAAAAAAACTTTTTTTCCGTCCTAAAAGCGACAAAAATGCTCTCTCAAGAAGAAAAACGGCCGAAGTAAAAGAACCTGATCAAACGAAAATAAATTGACTGAATGTGAGATTTATTTTTTTCTTCCCAGTGTTCCTTTCTTTCCTATCCATTATTCTAAAATAAGAATTGAACAAAAAGCTTAAAGTAGGTATCATGCCTCATAAAAAAATCTTCTTTCCCCCGATCCAGTGAAAGAAGTTTTTCTGGTTTCACACCTTGAAAACTACTTTGCGTGTCAACGTACTTCAAAAATATCCAATATTTAAGAAGAGTAAAACAAAATGCAATAAACAGCTGGTAAATAAATGTCCACTATTTTTAATTTCTTAGGTTTTTTTTTGTTTTGTTTTTTTTGTTGACAAACCAAGTTTGGTACAAGGCCACATACGAGAAGCGTCGGAAGGAGGTTCGAACCCAAGGATTCGCTTGTAAAACAGCAGATTTTAGTTTAAAATAAATCAGCAAAGCAAAAAACTCTTTTGGCTAAAAACTAAAAGAAAAATTTTTTTTAACTAATTCTCTTCACTGATTTTATCAGTTCACCCTATTTTCATAATGTATTTTTAAAAACAAATACTGTAAAATATTTCTGGTGTAAAAACCAGTATTCAATATCGATTTTTATTAAATTTGTTGAATAATTAAAATATCTATAAAAAAAAAATCTAAGTCTAAGTGCTGTCAAAACTTAGCATTTTTTTTCTAAAAATGTAAATTAAAAAAGTGGATGCAAATTGAAAGAAAACTTAAAAGGGTTGGTGCAATTTTTTTTTTTTTTTTTTTAGCAGTAGTTTGTAACATGAAATTAATAAATGAATTATTGTTTTACTAGACTTAAATGAGGTTTTTGTTGATTTGTTTTTGGTATTTTATGAGAGTAGAAGTAATTAATTAGCAGAGAAAATAAATTTTAATTCTTAGTATTTATTTTCACCGACATAAAAGAAGAGTACTCTCGGATTAATCAAAGTAGCACCAATAGAGTTAGAGTTAAAAATACAAATAAAAAATGTACCCTTTTTTTTTCTGAACTTAGATCTAAAAATATGTATATTTTTAGAAAGTAACTTAAAAATACAGAATGCAAGTGTTCATTATCGTTAATGAAGTATTATACAGGATTAAAAATACACACACGTGAAATAAAAAAATAAAATTGTTTATTATTGCAATAATAACATTTAAACAAATATTTGAGTAGAGATAAAAAATAAGACATAAATAAATAAATAAAAATAACACCTTAAAGGCTGATCATAAATAGAAACAAACTGAACTGGGGCGCGAATCACCGACTCTTAAAATTAAATTTTAAAAAGTAAAAAAAATGGAAATATTTTGTTTTCAGGCTTTGAGTTTTTGAGGAAGAAAAAACAATTCTCTTGGGAGTCAGGCCAACAACAAAAAGTTATTTTTAACGTTTTTATATACTTAAATTTAGAAAATACTACTTTTTATACTAGCATCAATAATGTTAATAATATTTTCATTACAAATGAAACGGAGGGGGGGGGCGTTGTATTTATTTATTATCTACCGCTGAATTCTCTCTCTCTCTCATTTTGCCTCCACCGGCGACTTGGGATTTACGGTTTCGTTTATATTACCCACCGTAAGTTAAAAATAAAATCTTTTTTTTTTTTTTTCAGGAAGTTATTTAAGCAACAAAGTAGAATTGTTCAAAGGATAAAAAAAATGGCTTAACAGACGGAGACAGTTTTTTTTTTTTTTTTTTAAATGGGGAACAGACTGCTATAGGGTCATTCATATTTTATATAGGTAGGGGAGCAAGTCAGTCAGTACAATACCTGAGCGTGATATCTGGGGGACAGGGGCACCTGCCCTCCTTCTTGGAGGAAATACGATTTCAAGTACTTTTTTCGGAGGGGGGGGTATTTTGCGGTTTCGTTTAAGACATTGTAAAAGAAAAAATAACACAAGAAACTACTAGTTTTGTCCGGGCAAAATGATGTCATGATGATTTACTGAATAGATTAGACAAGAGCGAGGAAAATGAACATTTTTTTTTAATCTCTTGTTTTATTATTGACATCTTTCTCTGCATTTTTTTCTTTCCAGAACAATCAACCATTATATTGCAGAAATTAAGGGGGAAAAAAAGTATATATTTTTAGCAAAAACGTATATAAGAAGAAAATGATATCAAACTTACCTTTAAAAAATATATATATATATGGTTAGCTTTTGCAATGAAAAGCTAAGGAGTTGAGGCGGGGTGGTAAGGGGGGAAAATAAGATACTTAGATCTCTAAGAATTTAAAAAGATGAAAAAAAAAAGGGGGGGAAGAGAAAAAGGAGGGGAAAAATCAGAAGACGATGATGCACTGTTACGTTTCCATCAAGTGTGATTGATATGTTGGTATTGCTGTGTATATCCTCTTTTCATTCTCTATGCTACTTATTATTATTATTATTACTACTACTACTACTGCGATTACTACTACTACTATTACTGATGGAGGAGATCACCAACGAGAGGAATATCGAAAACCTACCAAAAGAAAGAAAGGAAAAAAAAAAAAAAAAGGAAATTTAAAAAAAAAAAAGTCCAGGCCAAAAAACCGAGACAAGGGACCCCCCCAAAAAAAACTATACAAGATGTTACTGGATCACTTAGCTGTTATTTCCCCATAACACATACGCACATATAGAAAAAAAATGCACTCTCATACGTAAAAAGGGTAGACTTTCTCCTCCTTTCCGACAACACAACTAATGGTATTAGTAGTAGAGCTGAGCTTGCTACTAATACGACTACTACTTCTAGAAAAAGAACGAGGGTAGGGAGAAAGTCAGGGATTAATGGTATGTAGCAGTAGCAGCTGCTTTTAAGCACATCTAAAGAAGAGGTGGGTAGTGATGGAAAGATGAAGGAGAGAATGTATGTATGTATGTATATATACAATGTATATTGCATACATACGAATTGTGGTGGTGGCAGTAGTAGTAGTAGTAGTAGTAGTAGCAGCAGCAGCATTGCTAATAGAAAAATAATGGCACAGAAAAGCTTACGTACGTTTAACAAGTGCTTCCTCTAGAAGTGAGGATCTCTCTAAGCTTGCTAACAGTGTAAAAAATGTACTGTCGTAGTAGTAAATGTGAATACTAATACTACTAAGAAAAGAACTAAGTCATCTTTTTTATTTATTCTTGACTTGCTTCCACTTTTATTTTCCGGAAAACAAAACTTATACAGGGCGTTTTATTTAATTAAGAATAGTCCCCAATGAGTTGACCCGCTCTCTAGACACACATCCCTAAAAAAAAAAAAAAAATTAATAATTTCTTCTTGTTTGTTTTCTATTTTTACTCTTAATTCCTTCTTTTATTTTGACGAGTCCCATGTTAAGGAATTATCACTATTCATAGCAAATTATCGAATTTGTTTTGTTTTTTGCATCTCATATTGGACAGCGAATATTTATAACAAAAACTAGTGTAATTGCTTTAAAAAAAATCTAACGAGCAGCTAAAAACTAAAAAGGAGATAAAAATAAGTAATGAACTTACTTATCATTTTAAACAAAAAAAAAAATAGTAAATAAAAAATATTTTTCCGTCTAGCAACTGGTGACTTTTCTCCAATCGAGATATTTTATTTAATCTACTTGTACGTAACTGAACATCTAGGGCACCTCACTATGCGTGAGGTTAATTAACTGGTTAGCAAGCAAGTCTAGCAGACTATTACTACTACTACTACTATTATTATTATTGTATATAGTGAATTCAACCTAGTTGTGGCCTTGCAGCAGATAAAGCAGACTTTATTCAATAAATATCGATAACATTAGTGAAATACTAATATAGTTGACCATCAACGAGTCTGATCTTTAACTGTTTCTCATTGGAGTCTTGTGCCCAAAACAGAGGTGCTCGCAAAAGTAGGCGCTTCGCCGGGAGGTTAATGGTTAGTCCAGCAGACCTCGACCATTATAGTTCCTGAGCCCGACAATCACAGGGTGTAATACACTTGTAGCCTTTGTGCCAACTTCAGCAAATAAAAATATCTATGCAATAGTAATTAATTTTATTGTTGTAAATATCTATCTAAAAATGCAGGTTATTAATAAAATAAACAAATATTTTTACTCTAACTAAATTCACTAAATTCGGAAGGATTCTTTCAGCTACGAAAATATTGTTTTTCATAATTTTAACGACTACTATTATAGAATTGTATGCAACACAATTGGTCATATAACTGCTTACTTTTTTTTTAGGAAATCGTTTTACACAATTACAGCTAAACATGTTACCGTTTACGGTTAGTAG